GAGGGGGTGATGTTATCACATCTGTGCTTGTTTTTATAGTTATTTTGAATTATCTCAGTAATTAAGTTCTTTTATTTTTCTTATTTAATACATGTTTTCCTTGCTATTTTCATTAGGATATGGTTTTACACTCGTTTTGAATGTTTTACGGTGTTTGTTAATGTTTTTGAACCATTTTAGGTCAAAAATATAAGCAAGGAGAGTTCAAGGATGAATTTGGAGCAATTTTAGATAAGTTCGAGACTCAGAGGACTCGATACATCGAGCCGCGTCGAAAATTTCCAATAGCATCATAAAATTGAACCAATGAGGTTCGACGCATCGAGCCTCAATTCGACGCGTCTAGATTACCGAATGTCAAGAAAGGCGCGGCTGGGCAGATTATACTTAGGCACTGGTTGTTTATTTTTTCTCCTTCCTAATTTCAATATCGCGGATTTCAAGGCTCATATCTCCATATTAAAAGTTAGCAATCCAATGAATCTTCCAAATTCTAAATATCATTAAAGATGGAAATTTTCCTAATTAATTTAGGAAAATTCCAATCTCACCCCAACTTTGTACCTATTATAAAATCCACCTCCTCAACCCTAAGAAATGATTAGAGATTTTTAGAGTTCTTTGGAGACAAGAAAGAGAGAAATCAAGAGCCATAAGTTGTCTTGGGAAGCAAGAAGAAGACTAAGGAGATTTGAGAAAATCGTCTAGTTAATTCTTGTACTCTTTTGATTATTTGTAATTCTTTATTTATATTTGCTATGTATAATTTAGCCATGCTTTGCTAAATTCTTTAAGGGTTTTTGGGTGAATTTGTTTATGAACCTATGTGCCTAGTTCGTTAATTTCCTAATATATTTATGTTTGGTTTGTTGCAATCTTGTTTTAATCTGTTGTTGTTGGTAATTAAATGCCTAAACTACTAGCTTCATAGTCATGTTTGTGTCATCAATGGGAATTGGGGCATAAATTAGGACACACGATTGCACCTAATGGTTGGACCTTGGGAAATGGGAACTTATTGGGGGAATCTTATTCTAGATTGTTGCGCATCGGGAGATGGTAGTAATTATAAATAATTCAATGATGGTCTTCGATCTTATCGGGTGTTTAAGCCACGAGAGTGGAAATTCACTAGGGGTAGAAATTACGGGAGTAATTCTGTTCCACTTTGCATTCCCATACAAATCTTAATTCCAAACTAAATATTACAAACGTTAATTGGCACTAGGTGATTAAACATTGTGATCCCAAGAATCCTATTTCGATCTATTGTTTACAAAACCTTGTTATTTATTTTATTCTGTTTGTTATTTTCTGCAATTACCCAACCTTAAAGTTTCGTTCGGACTAGTTTCATATGAGTAACTTAGTAGCTAGTGATTAGTACCCCATCTCCCTGTGGTTCGATAACTCGAATACTCCGGGTATTATTTGTTTTCCCCAAATTACCGCAATCAAACAAGGCAATTTAACGAGCACCTTGCCTACGTTCATTTTCTGGCCGTTGTCCTCTCGGATCTAAGGCGGGAAATGTAGAGGGTCCTACCTAGATTTAGAAATCTCTTGTCTAAATCTAGGAATCCAACATTAACCACGGAGTTGGACCCCACTCCATGGAAGCTACAAAGATCTCCCTCAACAACAAGACATCCATAACATCAACAATCAATCACCAAAATATGGGAAATCAAAACTATAACACCCCATGTTACGCCCTTTAAATTCGGATTAATTATCCAATTAATTTCGTTAAAGAATTAGTTAAAAATAATTTAATCCAATCGAAATCCCCTAAATTAATTGGTATGATCTACGGAGGATCGTGGACCCTTACCCTTAATGAAACCCCAAGCCTGTTTGAATAAGGAAAGAAGGGCCTATTATTAATTAGACTCTGATTAGGATTCCTAAATCTATATAAAAGGGATTAGAAAGCTTTAGAACCCTCTCCCCTCTCCACCACCAATGGTTATACCCTGCAGGCCTGCACCACGGCGCGCGTAGCACTGTGCGCCCCGCGCCTCCCAAAACGACGTCGTTTTGGTAAGTTATGTAGGGAGTTGACGTGATTATGTGTATTTTTTTTGTAGCAAGTTGGTTGGTGGTTTGAAAGGTTGTGCAAGAGAGAGCATGAGTAATTCGTATGTTTTGACTTGTGAATTTATTCTTTGGTTTTGCTTGAAGACAAGCAAATGCTTAAGTGTGAGGGGGTGATGTTATCACAAATGTGCTTGCTTTTATAGTTATTTTGAATCATCTCAGTAATTAAGTTCTTTAATTTTTGCTTATTTAATACATGTTTTCCTTGCTATTATCATTTAATTATGGTTCACACTTGTTTTGAATATTTTACGGTGTTTGTTAGTGTTTATAAACCATTGTAGGTCAAAGTTATCAGCAAGGGAAGTCCTAGAACAAAATTGGAGTCAAAACTCAAAAGTGGACCAAATGATACCTACACAGTACACTCGACACGTCAAGCCAAAGGCTCGACGCGTTCAAAATTTCCAAAAAGATTTTGCGGTCAAGATCAGGAGGGCTCGACGCGTCGAGAAAGACACTGGAGCAAATTGAAGCGAGACGCGACATTTAATTAAAGAGGAAAGGCGTTGATTTGTTATATTAACAATAAAAGGCGCAATGGCCCAAATTTAAGAAAGGGGGCAATCCCCAAGATGATAAAAGATAGGCAGTAACACTAATTTCCAAATGATGGCAATAATTTCCATAAAACAAAAGCAATATTTTCCTAATACTATGATGGGCCGAAATTCATAATTAAATTGAAAAAATTTCAATTTTGCCACAACTTTGTACCTACTATAAAATCCCACTTTCGTCAATCCTAAAAAAAAAAAAAGTAGTTTTAGTTTAGAGTAAATAATTAGAATAGACAATTTACAATTTATAGTTTAGAATTCAGAGATTCTTGGAGACAAGAAGGAGAGAAATCAAGAGCCACAAGTTGTCTTGGAAAGCAAGAAGAAGACTAGGGAGATTTGGGAAAATCGTCTGGTTAATTCTTGTACTCTTTTGATGATTTGTAATTCTTTATTTATATTTGTTATGTATAATTTAGCCATGCTTGGCTAAATTCTTTAGAGATTCTTGGGTAAAAGTGTTTATGAGCCTATGTGCCTGAGCTCTCAGTTTCTTTAATATATTATTATTTGGGTTTAATACTTGTGTTGCAATCGTGTTAATATTGTTTGATGCTTGTAATTAATGGCCTTAGTTACTTGTTTCGTTTGCTTTGTTTGTGTCACCAATGGGAGTTGGGGCATAAATTAGGGCACACACGACTGCACCTAATGGTTGGACCTTGGGAAAGGAGAATTTATTGGGGGAATCTTATTCTAGATTGTTGTGCATCGGGAGATGATAATAATTGAAAATAATTGAATGCTGATCGTCGATCTTATCGGGTGTTTAAGTCACGGGAGTGGAAATTCACTAGGGGTAGAAATTACGGGAGTAATTCTGTTCCACTTTGCATTCCCATACAAGTCTTAATTCCAAACTAAATATTACAAACGTTAATTGGCACTAGGTGATTAAATACTTGAATCCCATGAATCTCATCTTCTCTCTTATTGTTTTCAAAATCCTGAACCTCTGTTTTATTTTATTTATTTTATGCCAATCAATCATCTAAGTGATTGTTAGGATTAGCTCTAATGAATAAGTTAGTAACTAGTGCTTGATACAACCACTTCCCTGTGGATCGATAACTCGTACTTCGAGAATTATTTGTTTGCAAATATATACTACGCATCAGTCCGGTTAGTGGGTCAAATAATTATATTCGATGTAATTCTAGCTTGTGTAATGCATGTCAAATGGGTAAATCATCTTGATTCCCATTGGCACGTGTTGAGACATCCAGTTCTAGTGTCCTTGATTTGATATACACAGATATTTGGGGTACAGCTCCCCTTTTGTCAATTGATGGCTATCGTTATTTTGTTATTTTTGTGGATGATTATACTCGTTACACTTGGAATTTTCCTATGAAATTAAAATCTGATATGTATGCCATCTTTGATAAATTTCGTACTATCGTTGAACGATTTTTTAACATAAAAATTAAAGCCGTTCAATCAAATCTAGGAGCTGAATACAAAAAATTGCATCATTCCTTTACTCAATTAGGTATCCTTCATAGACAATCATGTGCCTACACTCATGAACAAAATGGTCATGTCGAACAAAAACATAGACACATTGTTGAAACAAGTATGACTCTTCTAGCCCGTGCCTCTATCCCATATAAATTCTGGGATTTTGCATTTGAAACTGCAGTTTATTAAATAATCTCAGTCCACACTTTAAAGTGCATAATTCCAATCCCTCTTATTCTTTTCTTCGTGTCTTTGGGTGTTTGTGTTACCCATATCTCAGACCATATAATCGTCATAAATTTTCATTCCGGTCCACTCCATGTGTTTTCCTAGGTTGTCCTGAGTCGTTTCGGGGGTATAGATGCATGGACTTACAGACTAGCAAGATTTATGTGTGCAGGCATGTAAGGTTTGATGAAACAGTTTATCCTTTTGCTACTAAAAATACTATGCAGCTATCTCCACCTGAGAAATTCTGTCCGTGGGCTGAGTTAGTTCTTCATTCCACTGCGATTTCGCCGCCGATTGGTCTTGTAGCTGTCCCACCCAGCACCGTCGGCAGTGATTCAGACTCCTCTCTACCACTGCCCACTGCTGCCGCCGGATCGTGAGCTGCCTGTTGAGGCCGTCCAGCCTGTCAAACGCCCACGTGGGTGTCCTCGTGGGAAAATGATCAAGTCCACGGTTCGGACCCATGAAATGCACACTCGGAATCGGTATCGGGCTCCACCTTCTATTTTAACGGTTCAGGTTTGTCCTTCGGATCCCACTTGTTACACACATGCTGTTAAACATTCAGAATGGCGAGATGCTATGGATCAGGAATTTAATGCCCTACTACAAAATCAGACTTGACAACTTGTGCCATCTCCGTCAGACATGAACATCATTGGGCGTAAATGGGTTTTTCGTACCAAACGAAAAGTTGATGGTTTCATTGAAAGACATAAGGCAAGACTTGTAGCAAAAGGGTTTAATCAACTTCCAGGTCATGATTTCTTTGATACTTTTAACCCAGTGGTTAAACCAAACACAGTCAGGTTGCTTCTTTCTATTGCTTTATCTTCTGGGTGGACTATTAAGCAATTGGATGTTCATAATACTTTCTTGAACGGTCATCTCTATGAAAGTGTGTATATGAAGCAACTGCGTGGATATATTGGTACTTCCTATCCAAATCGTGTATGTCTGCTAAAAATGTCTCTTTATGGATTAAAACAGGCTTACCGAGCTTGGTTTAATCGTTTGCACACCTTTTTACTATCTATTGGGTTTCAGGAATCCAAAACAGATGTGTCTCTTTTTTATTACTCACAGGGATCTGATTGTGTATATCTACTTGTTTATGTGGATGACATTCTTATGATGGGAAGCGATACGAATCTAGTTCTTCAACTAGTCTCAAAACTCTCTACTTCATTTAAAATCAGGGACCTGGGTAAACCAGGTTTTTTTCTTGGAATTGAGGCAACTAATTACAATGATGGGATTTTACTTTGCCAACAGAGATACATGCATGATATTCTAAAACGTGCTGGAATGACAGACTGTAAGTCCTTGTCCACCCCAATTGCCATGTCAAAATCCATCCCCATTGACGCAACTCCATATGATGATCCTACACAATACAGAAGTTTAGCAGGTGCATTACAGTATTTAACCATCACTCGTCCTGATCTATCCTTTGTAGTCAATCAGTTATGTCAACACATGCATGCACCTACAGCTACTCACTGGGAACAACTAAAGAGAGTATTACGGTATGTCAAAGGAACTGTAAATTTTGGCCTACGCGTCAAGAAGTCATCCTCTAGGGAAATTCATGCCTTATCTGATTCTGACTGGGTCGGCTGTCCTAAAGATAGAAAATCCACAAGTGGCTTTGCTGTTTTTCTTAGGTCTAATCTAGTATCATGGGTCTGCAAGAAACAAAGAACTGTTGCTAGATCTTCTACTGGGGCTGAATATAAAGCTCTAGCAGATGTTTGCGCTGAAGTAATTTGGATCATGTCACTTCTGCGTGAAATCTGTGTTACAGGGATCTCAGTTTAAATTATGGTGTGATAATCTTAGAGCTACATATATTTGTGCCAATCTCATCTTCCATGCCCGCACCAAACATGTAGAGATAGATTAACACTTTGTACGAGATAAAGTTGCTACCGGAGACATTCAAGTAAATTTCATCTCAACAAAAGATCCACAGATATATTCACCAAAGCCTTGCCTGGTCCTAGATTTTCTTCTCTCATAGACAAACTACAAGTTACAAGTGTACCATGCGCTTGAGGGAGAGTATTAGGACTAGTATTAGAATTCTTGTATTTGAGTCATAATATGACTCCCTATTCTAGTCTTCCTATGATTCCTCTTGTATATATATTCTCCGTGTCTGTACCGTTGTAATTAAGTTCATTCAATACAATTCATACAGTTGTTATCCAGATTACACCAAAACCACATCCACAACCGCCATTTAAAGTATATATTACTTTATATGCAAATTGGACTTGATGAACCAAATCTATGTGCTCGGTTGAGTAGAATTCAAAATTCATTATATAATCGAAGTTAACATAAGTCATGTCTTGTGATAAAGTAAAAAAATCTTGAGAAGTAATTATAATAGAAAAAAAACAATATTTAATTAAGTGAAGAAAAAATGTACAATTTACGTACGCAAACGAATTAAAACTAAGCACATGCAGACTATGAAAGTGATGCCTCAAAGCCAAAACCTTGATTAAGAAAGGCACTTGCAATCCACAGCTTCAAATTTGGCAAGTTGATATCGGATTCGCATTCTCTGACCTGTTCGTAAATAATAAATGTGTGATCTCATTATCAGTTTAAATATTTAATAAAAACAGATCAGAACGTATTTTTCATTAAGTAAATGTAAAAAATGACAAATTAAATTGATTAAAACTTACTGTAAAAGTAAACGTGAAGACATAATTGTGAGAGGCGGTTGCTAGGTTAGAGCTGGAGATGAAAAGACTAGCAAGAGAGTCCACAGCCTTATAGAGTGAGGCTGCAACCTGTTGCCCTTTGCTGCTCACTATTCTCACGTAAAACCCGGTTTCCTCTACTTGAAATACGTCCATCTGCATATTCATATTTATATATTATATATATGACTTAGATGCTTTTTTTTTTTTTTTTAATATCAAAGTGACGTGAAACTGATACGAAATTGAAAAATGTGATCCATTTCAACTAAAAATCTAAATATAGTTGGATGCACATTTATGTTTATATATATTATAATACTCAATATCAGGACATCGTTACTAGAGTATTAGATTATTAAGAGGTCTGATTCAAAAATTACCTTAAATATTTTCTTTAGTATTGGGAGTGTATTTGTGAAATTTGTTTTCTTGCCACCCAGAAACGTTGTCCCTCCCTCGTATTTGTCTGTTTTTGTGGTGGATGACTCCAAATTTGCTATTTCCGCCTTGAGTTTCTTGGTTTGCATTTGTAGGTCTTGTACGTATAAGACAGCGTCCGCTATTATAGAGGCTTTGTCCATCTGTATGCACGTGCCTCAACTAGTCATAATGATATCGCGTACAATATATATAGTGTTTTACCAAAAAAATATTACATGAAAATTATACTTTGCGTCCCTAAGTTATAAAGTAACGGTAAAATTTTGTTGATCGATTCATTTCTCATCCTTAAGTTATAACTGACATTGTAAATTTTGTCATTTTTCGAACATGTCGTGCTCACTTTTCATCCCTAATGTTTTGGTAGAAAAAAAAAAAAAAAAAAAAAGGAAATTTGCCGCAACATCATTATTTATAACTTAGAGACGAGAAGTGAGCACCGCCTGTTAGAAAAAAAATGATGAAATTTGCAACATCATTATAACTTTATAACTAAGGACCAATAAGTGTGAACAAATTTTACAATTACGTTATAATTTAGAGACGAAAAACAGAATTTTACTTAATTATAGTGGGGATTTAATTAGAACACACCTTGGTGATGTTGGGAACTAAGGAGCGGAGAGAGTAGAGCATTTCCTTCATTCTACCTCTCCTCTTCCGTTCACAAACCAGAGTTTTGGAGCGATCAGCCTTGGTGCCCTTTTTCTCCGGCGTGGTTTCCGACGAGACTTCGCCGGCATCATTCTCCCCTGTCGGAAGGATATTCACGACATCGTCTCCGGAAACATTGGCGCTGCTTAACATGTAACTGCCCACGTTGTCGTACTCGAACAAGCCTTGGCCATCGTCAGCCAAATACCCAGAAATGTTCTCACAACCATAGCTCTCCTGCTGGAAGAACATGGCACCCATTGGTTCTTCATTCTCTCCCCTTATCAGATCAATGAACTGCTCCAAATTCTCTTCGTCCATGAAATCTATCAACCCCAAATCTCTGTCGTTTCCCTGAGGAAAATTAACGTTGTCCATTGTTTTTTTTGGGGGGTTTTGGATTGGTTGGTAATTTCTTTGGCTTGTTGTGAGGATGGGGTTGATGGTGAGAGGTCTCTGTTACGTTGAGGATTTATAGACGGCGAAGAGAATTATTTTATGTGTTCATAGGTGTGAACGGAATCGAATATGGTTTCGGTTTGCTAGAGAGTTAATATTAAAACCCTAATTAGGAAGTTGATATATAGCTTTGCAGACAAAAATAAGTGGCAAGGGAACTACAATTGACCTAACTTTAGTTTGTAAATAAATAAATATAATTGTGATGATAGATTCTCTGTTAGGTTAGTATATTCATATATTACTTTTAGTGAGCGTAAACATTGTCACAAATTCCCGAGTAATTATGATAACTTTTCAAAAGTCGTCACTACTACAATAGTGACGGAGGATATAATGACGACAGGTGACGACTTCAAAAATTGGTCACTAATTTCAATAGTGACCAAAATCGATAGTTTCGGTGACAATTTCGATTGTCACTAAATATGAAATTTCTTGTAGTGATGCTATGGTGGATGGTGCCCAATAACATTATTTATCATTGTATTAGTATTCCTTGTGTGAAAATATAAAACAACTATGTTAGAGCATCCTCAATAGATATGTTTTTTTTTAACGTTTTTTATGTGCCAATTAGGAGAGAGAGAGGAGGAAGAGGAAAATGGGTGAAAAAGAAAAAGGAAAAAAAAAAACAAATATGACAAAATAAAATAAAATAAAATAAAACAAACAGTTGCACAACGCGATTGTTGCGCTCAACGCGCAGACAGTTGCTGTGTGTCCCACTAAAAATCACTATTTGCAGGAGTAAAATCCATCTAAAAACTATGTTCTCCATTAATATAAACACCATAACTTGCTTTTTCCACTCACAAAAACTTCATAAAAATCACTAATGAGAATGCCGTTAGTTTGGCATAGTACGTTGTACTTCTTAAAATGACACTTCTCTTAGGGTCTGTTTGGAAAGTAGGAAAATGACTTCTGGAAAATGCATGGGTCATTTTTCAAAAGTCATTTTCCTTTCCTGTGTTTGGGTGCACAATGGAAAACTGTCTTTTGGTGTTTGGTTCATTTTCCAGAAAATGATTGAAAACTGTCTTTTGGTGTTTGGTTCATTTTCCAGAAAATGAACAGAATGGTATACTTAAACATTTTAATTATTATATACCGAAAAATATATTTTTATTGTTGTTTGTAGAATATAACAATTTTTATATAAAGTAATTAATTAATTTGATTACAAATCAATAAAAATATAATATATAAAATTTCAGTGCGTGTAACATAATCCAATGTTCTGTAGCGAAACTCCATTTTGACTATCGTCCAAAACCGCTCCAAAATCCTCCGTCTTTCTCCCCACAGCCGGAAAATAATTTTGGAGAAAAAAGCTGAATGTTGAAGGAAGAGGTGAAGTTGGGAGAAGAAGCTGTGAAGGCTTTGCTGCGTGTATGTTTAGATTGGAAGATGGAAAATGATTTCCCCTCAAAAAAGGGGAAGTTATTTGGGCTCATTTTCCATTGACTTTTAGTTTTCCTTGTTTCCAAACACTAGAAACCCGGAAAATGTTCCAAACACACCCTTAGTTGTGAATGTAGTGTAAATTTAGCCACCAATCCATTTGTTATTTGCGTTATAAATTTAATCCTTAAATTGTTAATACGGTGGTGGATTAGGAGGTCACAATCTTAATAGCCAAATTTGTCATTTCACTAAGAATTTAAGACTAAATCTATATATATTACAAATAAAATTTACATTGCACCCGGGCCATAAGTGATTATATATGGCCTGAAAATTCCATTTCCTTATGTGTCCTACATCAGGCATCAGCTATTGCTGAATATATTAGCCAACCCAATATATGTATAAGACGATCATCATTCAAGTCGCAAATTATGCCATGGAATCGTGTTCACCGAGAATGGTGAACACAAGGCAAAACGACGTCGTTTTCAGGCAAAAAAAAAAAAAAAAATTCGCGGATGTGGAATTAACGGCGCGCGTTTGATCAAATTATGAATTTTCTGTTATGAGATTATGAATTTTATGAAAATTCATAATCTCATAACAGAAAATTCATAATCTCATAACAGAAAATTCATAATCTCACAACTGAAAATTCATAATCTCATAACAGAAAATTCATAATCGCATAACAGAAAATTCATAATCTCACTACTGAAAATTCATAATCTCATAACAGAAAATTCATAATCTTATAACAGAAAATTCATAATCTCATGGTTCCAAAGTGAATGTGTAGGCATGGTTCCAAAGTGAATGTGCAGGCATGGATTCATAATTTATGAATGTCCGTGATTTCGGACGGGAATATGTAGGCATGGTTCCAAAGTGAATGTGCATGCATGAATTCATAATTTATGAATGTCCGAAATTATGAATGTAATGAAAATTCATAATCTCATAACAGAAAATTCATAATCGCATAACAGAAAATTCATAATCTCATAACTGAAAATTCATAATCTCAGAAAATTCATAATCTTATAACAGAAAATTCATAATCTCATGGTTCCAAAGTGAATGTGTAGGCATGGTTCCAAAGTGAATGTGCAGGCATGGATTCATAATTTATGAATGTTCGTGATTTCGGACGGGAATGTGTAGGCATGGTTCCAAAGTGAATGTGCAGGCATGAATTCATAATTTATGAATGTCCGAAATCTTTGTTCACCTCAAATTAAAGTGAAACCGCAAAATGTGAAAATAAAGAAGAAAAGTCACGCAATTAAAAAAAAATAATAATAATAATAATGGTGTACTAACACCGTTGGAACCGTGTTCACCATGAATGGTGAACACGGTTCCATGGCATAACGTCCCATTCAAGTCTCTCAACATGTGAGGTCTCGCCATATCCATCCAATTGGTGCGTTGAACCGGCGCCAGATTGACGGAGCATTATGCTGCCGTGTTCACCATACAACGTGCACACGGAATTGGATCTATAACTTTTATACTATAGATTCATAATTTCTATACTATAGATTCATAATTTTTATACTGTAAATTCATAATTTTTAAACTGTAGATTCATAATTTCTATACTATAAATTCATAAGTTTTATACTATAGATTCATAATTTCTATACTATAGATTCATAATTTCTAAATTGTATAGTTATCAAATTATGAACATATACTTCAGTGATTTGTGAATACAGAGTTCAACAATTGGGAATATGAACATTGAAAATTATGAACATAGAGTTTTGTAATTGTAAATATAGAGTTCAATAATTATGAAACTATAGTATAGAAATTATGAATCTATAGTATAGAAATTATGAATCCAATTCAGTGTGTACCAAGCATGGTGCACACGGTTGCACAGCATAATTTGCCTAGATTGACTTATTGTGTTCAATAGTTTCCAACTATGGAAATATATAAATTTTATTTGATAGTTAAATTAAATTAAGTCATTTGTATTTATTTTTAAAATTTTAAATAATTTTTGACTTATTGTGTTCAATAGTATCTATATATGAAATCATGACCAGTTTTTAGATTTTTGTGGCTCCGTTCGGGTAAATAAATGGGGCCCTACCAAAATCACAATCTTTAAAACCAACACCGTATTTTTTTCTAATAATAATAAAAATAATAAGGCCCGCATGGGCAGTTCAACTAGTCATAGAGGTGAAGTTTGAAAATAATGACCAAGGATTGAGTCTCACCGGTGGCAGTGTGAGAGCAACCTCTCAAAGTGAGGCGGGTTCCTTGTGCGCTCATTCCTCCATGGAGCCTTTTAAATTTAATTGAAAACTTTTAGTTTTAATTTCTAAACTAGCTAGGTAAAAATTAAATGTTGGACATTCTAAAATTTGAGGGCCCTGCGGTAGCCAGGTTGCACAGCCCAAAATCTGATATGGAATATATAAAATTTATTTGCTAACACTAAATTAATTTATGAAAAATAAAATTGTATAGTGTTTGAGTGTGAAACAACCTTTGATTCTCCTTCTCCCTTTTTTTTTTTTTTTTTTCTTTTTTTCTTTTTTTGGAGATAACTTGATTCCTTCTCCTTATTACAATAATATTAATGATAATAAACCAATATAAGTGACGCCTGCAAAACACTCTTGTTAGTGCCTATTAACGACATAGTACCTTTCAATTGGAAGTTTCTTAATTATAATATTTCTTTTAATATTAAATATACTCCATATGCAAGTACTATACAAAGAGCAGGTAATTGCAAACAATATAATATAATTGATAAAAGTTTTATTATGCTTACTTATTGGACTGCCTAAACAATTAAAAGAACGTAGCGATGAATTGTGTATTGGATTTTTAGTTCGATTTTTTTTTTTTTATGGATTTGGATTCTCCAATCTCTCAAATTTTCATTGTTATTTAAAACTTTCCGTACCTCTAAAAAGTTTTATTTTTATTGATAAAGTGGCATGAAATCTTCCACAATCATATTGTAAAACAAAAAAAATAATACTCTTTAATAGCGGTGGCTAAACTGTGGGCTATATATTCAATCATTAATACATGGACCATAGTCCACACAACCGTGTGGAACATAAATAAAAAATACATTTTTAATATACTAAAAGTCATTATTTGTATACATAAAGTATATTATTTTATGCTATCAAATAATGTACATTCAATACACAAATAATATAGTTTTAGTATATTAAAAATGTAACTTATATCCCTGGCCCACACAGCTATGTGGACAATGGTCCACACAATAATTTCCCATATATATTATGACCTTATGGCATGTGAAGTTCGAACGAGTAGCTCAGATGATTTTTTGAATAATAAATTATAGGTAAGGACGTAAGATCGAGTTTTGACAGTAACAGTGTAAGAGTTATACCCCCAACTCCTAACCGCCTTTGTAATTTATTCCTATATTATGTTGTTAGGCCAGGGTATAGGGGCTTAGGTGCGAGGGCATTGCCAATGTTCTCGGGGTATAGGGCCCTATTTGATTAGATACATTCTCAAGGTTGGTAATTACAAGTCATTTTTTTAAATTTTTCAATGGACAAAATTTACCCACAATGGCCCGTTTGGTTCATGGAATAGGCCGGGAATGGCATAACATTTCCAGTAATAGGCTTATTCCTTTGTTTGGTAACCATTTCTATTACCAGGAATAATATTCCTGTCTTCCTGGTAATAGCCTATTACCTCAAATAAGGTAATAGCTATTACTAGGGCCCCTCCTGGTATTAGCCTATTACTGAACGCTCAGGAACAGATTTTAGAATCTATTTTCTTTTTTACCCCTTTCTTTAACCTAATTTTTTATCCTATATATAAATTTATCCTATTTCACCACCGTCGTCGCCACCACCATCGCCGCCGCCGCCACCACCACCACCACCATCGCCACCGCCGCCGCCACCACCACCACCATCGCCACAACCGTCCGCCCCCACCACCACCGTAACCCCCACCACTGTGACCGCCACCACCATCACCGCCGCTGTCGCCACCACCACCACCGCCACCAGAACCACCACCCAGCAGCACCACCGCCACCACCACCGCCGCCCCCACCACCACTGCCACAACCGTCACCGTCACCACCACCACCGTCGCCCCCACCACTGCCACCGCCACCACCACCATCACTACCACCGCCACCACCACCACCGCCACCATCACATATTTTTATAAGGGTATTTATGTCTTTTAAAACATATTTCGTTTCTATTCCTTAAATCAACCAAACACTGTAATATAATTCCTAAAGTCTATTCTTTCCGCGAACCAAACAATAGAATACAATTCCTATTTTATTCCTTGTCTATTCCATTCCTTATGGAATAGCATTCCTATTATCTCAAAATTCATTCCGTGAACCAAACGTGCTATAAGTTTTTTGTTTTTGTTTTTTTGTTTTTTTGTTTTTTTTGTTTTTTGTTTTTTTTTTGGATCACATAGACTGTCAGAAAAGTATTCTTGAACCAGATTTTAAGATTTTTGGTCAGAACCCTCAATTTGAGATGGTTGGAGATTGAAGGTCCGAAGGGTACCCGATGATCGATATGAATTTTTCTTCCAAATTCAATAAGGAAAATATAAAAATTTATGCATATTACATAACATAGGCAAGATTAATGCATTCAGGGGTTGAAAAACACAGTACTACGTGTGCCACTTTGGTTTGGACAACATTATTAAACACTGTAGCATCGGTTTTCCACAGGTTTGCCTCATACGAATATAATTATAAATTTATACTAGTATAATCAATACCATATATGTTGTTAATTGTCCAATGATTAATTTAAGTCAACTTTTTGAATATAAAAATAACTACTTAATTACATTTTTCTTTCTCTTTCTTTAAATACTGTGTATTGAACTATTGAACTAATTAAGTCCGTGCGAGGCTGCAAGCTACTGAATTACATTTTTATCTATCAATAATTCTTTGCTATTATACAATTCAAGGGGTGTTTGGTTAAAAAATTGGAACTAAAATCATAATTGGAATAAAATATTTGATAATTGTAATGCGTTTAAGTAGAAGAAAGTCTATTTGTTACGTTGTAAATAGGAATTTGAATCAAATTGTATAATTAAATAATAAATAAAATAGAAATATATAATACGTGTGTGTGTGTGTATATATATATATATATATATATATATATATATATATATATAAAAGTTTAAGATGGAATGAATGGACAATGTCACAATGACTTTTTTTATTTGTTTGTTTTTTTTTTCAATTTTTTATTCTAGTGGTCAAAAGTTAGGGATGAGAAGGGTAATGGATTTGTATGATTACTAAATGATTTGAATTTAATAGTAAGATAACAAAAGTAGACAAACAAATATATAGTAATTTGTATCAAATCTGATAATAGGTGGAATACAAAAGTCCTGAACCAAACACCACCTAGTCTTTCATTTCAAATTTTAGTGACTGTAGTTCTCAATTGTTTTATTGTGTTGTAAATATAGTCTTTTAAGTTTTAAGGTGTAAAATAATCAATTTAGGGTCTGTATGGAACTCGAAAAATGACTTTCAGAAGTTATTTTTAGATCTTTCCGTGTGTGGGTATTAAAAGAAAATAAAGTCAAAGGAAAATATTCGTTACAGGAAAAAAAAAACTCAAATTGACAGAAAATGTCTTCATAGTTTTTTAGTTGAAGTTTGAAAAACATTTTTTGAATTCTTTATTTTCTCGTTTCTCACCTTTCTTATCTCTCTTCAAGCTCTAGTTTCTGAATTATTATTATTACCATCACCACTTTTTTTGAAATTTTCATGGTGCTTTCATTAGAAATATGCTGCAATAATGTCAGGTGGGGATAGATCCCAATACATAGTAGTAGGCTGCTGGAACGCAGCGGATGCTAGTGCATGAGCCAAATAATTATCTGATCTAGGTATGAAATTAAAAGAACAAGAATTAATCGAAGATGCAATGGATTTACAGCTATCAAGAGCATAACCAACATACGAACGAACTGTAGACAGGGGTGCGACGAGATATCGTTGCAATGATAGGCAATCTGTGTATAGATGTACTGATGTCTCACCCCGGTTTTTAAGCCATGATAACGCTTCTTTGCACGCAAACGCCTCTGCCATGAGTGGTGAGAAGCAAACTGGAAGAGGGGCACTGAATGCTGCCACATATCCACCATTTGCATAGAGTAAAACCGCCCCTACCGTTGCCGCACCGGAGTCGTGGAGGTAGCCAGCATCCACGTGGCATGTCTTGCTTAGCATTGTCGCCGTGTTGGGGGGTATGGCAACCGTGAGAGCATGCGGCAGTGGGGGTCCTCCAGCAGGTTCCTGTTATTGTGGCTGTGTCACGGATGCGGGCGGCAGCCGTGCGTTGCGCCATGCTTCCACGGTTGCCGTGACCGTGGCTAGGAGTTTCGTGGGTCGTGGCATAGCGGCATCCCATACTGCTCCGTTCCGTGCTCTCCAAATATGATATAAGATTGCTGTTGCATATAATATTCTATTAGAGTCTAGAATATTTAGAAGATCAGAGAACCAAGTATGAAAAACATTCGTCACAATATTGGGGATTGGAAGGCTAGATCGTTCCCAAATGGCTTTCGCAAAATCACACAACACCAAAGCATGCATAGTATCTTCTTGAACAATTCCACACATAGCACAATTTGGGTCCACCTCCACTCTCTTTATAATCAAATTTGTAGTGGTTGGGAGGATATCACTAATTGCTCTCCATAGAAAAGTTTTCCATTTGGGTGGGATTTTGAGGCTCCATAGGGTGAGCCATTTATCAAAAGATCCATTGTCAGGCTCATAGTTTCCCACAATGCGTCTATACCCATTCTTGACTGAGTAGATCCCTTTTGGGTCCCCATGCCAATACCAAGAGTCGTCATATTCTGGGGAAATAGGTATCCTCTTTATATTCTCCACATCTATAGGTTGGAACAAATCAGTAAGAATTGAATGATCCCACGTACCAGTATCCTGGTCAATCAATCCCACAACTTTCGCATCCGCTAATTGCACAGGCATCTCTGTTTGTATCATAGGTTCCTGATCATCCTGTATCCATGGATGTGCCTATATAGATGTGGTGTTACCATTCCCAATCCTGCCCTGACCCCACTACAAACCAGGCTCTTCGCTGCCATTATACTTCGCCAGCAAAAACTAGGATTATTCCCCATTTTTGCCTCATAAAATGAACTCTTGGGATAATATCTAGCCTTATAAACAGATGCCACCAAATATTCCGGCTTGGTAAGTAGGCGCCACGCCTGTTTCCCTAGCATGGCTAAATTAAACGCCCGCAGGTCTTTAAAGCCCAGTCCCCCATGCTTCTTCGGGATACACAACTTGTCCCATGCTTTCCAATGTATTCCTTGACTATTACCAGCTCCCCACCAATAACGGTTCATAACTCTCTCAATCTCCATACACATAGTCGTAGGTAGCAAAAAAACACTCATTGAAAAAGTAGGCATAGACTGTGCTACACTTTTCAACAAGATTTCTTTACCAGCCTATGACAGCAGCTTCTTATTCCATGACCCAATCCTGTGCCTGATTTTGTCCTCAATATATGCAAAGGCCGCTTTCTTATTCCTTCCTACAAACGATGGGAGCCCCAAATATTTACCAAAGTTAGGAGCCTGGACCACACCCAAAATTTGTGCCACATCATTCCTATCAATCTCACCAGTATTCTTGTTGTAGCATATACTTAACTTGTGATAATTAACCACCTGTCCAGATAAGTTTTCATACACAGATAAGCAATTCTTAATCTCACTGGCTTCCTGGGCATTGGCTTTGAAAAAGAGCAGACTATCATCAGCAAAAAATAAATGAGATATTGGGGGGCACCCCTTGCAACTCTGCAACTATGAATAGAACCTCTAGCCTGTGCCTGCTGCAACAACAAAGAGAGCCCTTCTGCGCAGATAATAAAAAGATAAGGAGACAAAGGATCCCCTGTCTTAATCCATGAGTAGGCATAATCGTGTCACTACGCGAACCATTAATCAAAAAATTATAGGACACCGAGATTACACATAACATAATGAACTCCACCCATCTGTTGTCAAATCCCAGCGCTACAAGCATGTTGCGCAGGAAAGACCACTCCATTCTGTCATAGGCCTTGGCCATATCTAACTTGAGAGCACCCCACCCCACCTTTCCACACTGCTTTCGGTTCAAGTAATGACCCACCTCCGCCGTTATCAATATATTATCTGTAATGAGTCTATCGGGTATAAAAGCACTCTGCGAAGCTGATATTAATTCATCCATTATGGGTTTCATTCTGTTAGTCATTACCTTTGCCATTATCCTATAAACCACATTGCTGAGGGCTATAGGCCTGAGATCAGTGACTAATTCAGGAGCACTCTTCTTTGGGATCAAAACCACATCCGTAGGGGTGTTCAATCGGTTAACCGTTCGGTTAACCGAACCGAATTAACCGAAATTTTTTTTCCTTTAACCGTTAACCGAACCGAAGTTTGCTCTACCGAATTCACCGAATCGAAATTTTTTTCGGTTAATCGGTCGGTTAACCGATTAACCGAACTTTTTAAAGCTAAAATTTAAAATTCTAAAAATAACACCTAAAATAATAAATCCAATTAAAATAAAATACATATCATAATAAATTCATAACAAAATATACAAAAACATTAATTATAAACTCCAAACATCCATAACTTCAAATTAGTATTATTATTTATATATATATTAAAAACTTCGGTTAACCGTTCGGTTAATTCGGTTAACCGACCTTTCGAACCGAATTAACCGTTAACCGAAGTTTTAAAATTCCTTTAACCATTAACCGAACCGAAAAAGTTCGGTTCGAAAACGGTTAACCGAACTTTGTCGGTTCGGTCGGTTAACCGAAAATTATCCGAAGTTTGCACACCCCTACACATCCGTATCATTTAGACCAGGCGGAAATTCCCGAGTCTGCAGACAACCAATTACAAAACTCGAGACATCCCCCCACTACATCCCAAAATTGCTGATAAAATCCCGGATTCATTTCATCCGGTCCAGGTGCCTTATCCGGGAACATTGCAAACAAAGCTGTCTTCACTTCCCCACACTCAAAAGGCCTAAGTAGCCAGTCATTATGTTCCTGAGTTACCCGCGGGTTCACACCCTAAAAAAAACTCACATCTTCTCCCGGATGTTCAGTGCAGAAAATATGGTCAAAATAGTTCATAATAACCCCCTTCATAGCATCCCCTTCCACCCAATCCCCAATATCATTCTTTAATCTAGACAAAGTATTTTTCTTCTTACGGTGAGAGGCATACCTGTGGAAAAATTTAGTGTTGGCATCCGCACCTCTGAGCCAATGTTGTTTGGCTCTCTGCCTCCAGTACGCATCCTCCTGAGTCTCAAGGCGGGTTAGTAGGCTCTCCAACCTTTGGAATTCGGTTAAAGAAGCCGGGTCAGTGCACCCCCTTATACGTTGCTGCTCTTTCCATAGGGACATAATCTGCTCTCCATACTTGTGATACTGATCACTACCCCATTTTGACAAACGAGCACCACAAAACTCAATACAGTCCTGCAGCCCTCTAGTTCTTCCTTCCTCCCAAGCCTGCTCCACCATACCTCTACATCCCTCATCATGCAGCCATGTCATCTCAAACCGGAAGCCCCTCCTAGTAGTTCCACCCCTCCCTACAGGGTCATGGATCCCTAGAAACAGGGCAGTGTGATCCGATTTCCTAGTGAGTAGATTCGTCACCCTGGCTCCCACCACTGTATTACGCCAACTCTCAGTGACGAGCACCTTATCCAGCCTTTCCTTGATCCAGTCGGCCGTGCCCTTACTCTTTTCCCAGGTAAACTGATACCCATCCATCTGCATTTGGGCTAAACCACAGTCCTCCAGCGCCTCCCCAAAACCACGTAACAGACTATTCTGATGCGGGCGTCCTCCTCTTTTCTCGTGTTGGTAAAGCAAGTCATTAAAATCCCCCACAACAATCCACGGGAGATCTGACTTACCCGACATGGATCTCAGTAAATCCCACGACTCTACACGCTTGTCACGCTGCGAGAAGCCATAGTAACACGTCATATGGCACAACAAAGCTAGCCCTCCACTCATACCCCTGCTATCAACATAAAACAATCCTTCAAAGTCAAGTTTCACACGAATACGCTCAGCATGTGCCCTTTCCACCATAGTTTCCATTAAGAAAATAAAATCGGGTTTCTTACGGGACGCAAGGTCCACAACTTCACGAACTGTCCGTGGATAACCCAAGACACGACAGTTCCAGCTTAGTGTACTCATTGGATCGGGCGGGTCTGGGAACCTAGACCCGCCATAAACAAGTTTTTTGAACCACTGCCTTCCCCAATATCATTCGGCCTAGTAACCCCATCAGCATCACCATTCGTGGCCGCACGGCGACGCTTCGACGAAGCCTCCGCACCTTCCTCCGGCTCACACTGCGCCCCTATCATCCGAACATCCCCCTGAGAGTCATCTGACGACGCGGAACCCTCCACCACCGTGGCTAGTCGGTTCGGCCGTTACGGTACATCATCCACCGGCGGGAGCAGCCAGGCAGCGCCGACTTGCCTCGGTCCCCGAGTCTGGCCCGCCCTCATCCACTCGCCATACGGGTAATGCTCTTGCTTGACTCTCGAAACTCTTGCCTTCGCACAGAATTTTTCAAGATGTCCTAATATGCCACAATAGAAGCAGAAATTATGCAGGCGCTCATACTTCAGATTAACCCAACCCCATGTCTTATCACGCCGTATGAGTTTCATACGCCGCTTCAATGGCCTGTCAATTGGAACTGCAACCCGTACCCGGTAGAAAGTCTTGACCGGTCCACCAACACGGCGGTCATCACATCGAATAAATGTTCCCACAGAATTCCCAACTTGCTCAAGAACCACATTAGACGTAAAGCCCAGAGGCAAGTCATACACCTGTATCCACATATCCAGAGTATCCAATTTAACCTCCCCCGGGAGATAACCATCAGGGACCCGGCGGCAGACTAGGGTATGATTATCGAAGGACCACGGCCCCTCCTCCAATACTCGCACCATATCGGTCTCATGATAAAAAGCAAACAAAAACAGATTCGAGTGCAGTTGCGTTACCCGCATTCCAAACACCGGCTGCCATACTGATGCTAAAACCTGCCGCATATACTCCACTTTTATCAGTTTCTTAGTCAAGAAACGGCCAACTACCGAGTAAACAACCCCCCAACCCCCGGCGCCGGCTCATACGTGCCGCCCGCATCAACTCCATCTTCCTCGTCTTCCAGAACCATGTCCCCCCAGCGTTCGGTGACTGCCTGAACTCCATCGTCCTGCCGCTGCTGCTCCATCGACGCCATGCTGACTGTTGCCGTCGTCGTCGCACGGTAAGTTGCCGTCAGAAATGCTAGAAAACCCTAATAGGGAGAGAGAGTAAAAAAACCCTAATAGGGAGAGAGATTAAGACTTTTCTTTGATTTACTTTACCATCACCACTTATTATTATTATTATTATTATTATTATTATTATATAACAAATAATATATTCATTTTCAAGAAAATGAACCTAACGGAAAAAAAATGTAATTTCTTAATTTTCAATCAAACAAAAAAATTTAGTTTTCTACATTTACCCAAACACTAAAAAATCAAAATAGTTTTCAAAAAATGAGTCATTTTTTCTAAAAATCGTTTTCCAAAAAACATTTTTCAGATTTCCAAACAGATCCTTAGCCTCTTAATTGTTTACTTATATCAACTTCGTCCATTTCATGAATTTGAGGGATTCAATTGACTATTTTATATTTTGTGAGACTAAATTTATAATATGAAAAAACAATTGAGGACTATTTTGAATAAAATTGAAAATGATGGACTAAATTTCATTGAGGTACTAAAATTGCGATTTAATTTTTTTTCTTTTTATTTATTTATTTATTATTATTTTTTTTTATTTGTAACAACACTTCAAAATTTATACAATTTTACTAGATGTATTATAAAATACTAATCAGAGATAAGGGAAAATGTGATTTTTTAAATCAAAATGTAATATTAAGAGTTGAAGAGTTAATTATGATGAAAATTGTAATACTTATGAAAAATTCAACCTCTCTCACATCTCATAGGGTATTTATTTTGCCTAATTTTATGATATTTGTGGAATATCATTTTTAATATTTATATGCATTTTTTGTAAGGATTCCTTTCATTTGATAAGGCTGAAAGTCCCACTAATTTTAAAGATAATGATGATGAGAATGCCCACAAGATTGATCCTAGTTTAGTCAAGCGATGCCTGATACATGAAATTTCTTCTAAGCAAGCAGTCAAGAAAGGGAAGGCTAAGCTGGTTAAGAACAAAAAGAATTAAATGTATTGTCTGTTAAATCTAGATTTATATTCTAGATTCTTTTGATGCCATGATGGCATTTAGTATTTCTGTTTGAGTATTATGAGTGGTTGTTCATCCAGATTTTTGTTGGTTTATGTTTAAAATGACTGTGTTATTGGATGTAGTGTTTGTGTTTAAAATGACAATGTTATGTATAAGTTTTATCAATTATATTAAAATGTTTACTGTGTTTTCCATTATGTATGTTATCAAGTATAGTTTTTACCATTGACATGATAATTGGACAAAGTTCTAGATCCGATCAGAAGCATATTTGGATTGATTTGCAGTAGTTAAAGCAATCAACACGGTCAATTGGTAACAACGAGTGAAGTAGGAAGAGGTGGAACGGTTCTTAGAGTCCAATGCATTATCGCCTCATGAAGAGCAGTTACAGAGGAGAGCGCACAACAATTACTGAGGAGCCTTAACACTTATAGAGGGGAACTATTATACTTATCAGGAGGTCGTTAGCGTCCATTATTGTAGCTGTTACCATTATATACAATATAAAAGTTGAGCTCATGTAACAAGTATTAGGACACACTTTAAAACTTTGTAAGAGACGATATCAACACATCTTATCTCTACTTATAAACAAATATTTCCAGTAACAAAGTCAGTAATATCCGAAAAAAAAAATATTTCTAGTAATATATTTACTGTCAACCACAAAAAAAAAAAAAAAAAAAAAAAAAAAAATCAGTTTTTGGGTTTGGATATTTCTTATTCGTTCGACAGTTCTGGAATTCTGAATTTCTGATGACCGGCAGACCGGATATTTATAGGTTTGAAATTATCTCCAGGGAATCATCCACTAGTTATTTGCCACGTGTCTTCGATGGAGATGTTCTTCGACAAAATCAGCTGCCGACGACGTGGTGCCTAGTCATCGTGTTCCACACTTATCCAAAATCTAATGCGCTTCAAGCCCCGATGATTGTCTGTAGCAGTTTTGTCGTTTTAGGAAAACGATATTTTCATCTTTTAAACCCGAAAATGGCCGTAGGTTTTCTCGTAATTATCCAAACTTATCATCTTCTTCCCGCCATAAATAAGGGGTACATATATAAGATCATGTGCCCCGTCCATTCATCTGTTCAAATTTAAACGCAACATTTCTCAGGATTGAAATAGCTCATCGTGGAAGAAAGAAAGAAAGAAAGAAAGAGAGAAAGAATGGATTCAAGATTTGAAGATGCACCTTCTGGGTCTGAATCATCTGGAAATTATGGGTATTAATTTACAGAATATTTTGTTTCTTGAATTGATTTTTCATTTTTGTGTGTGTCCTGGATCTTTATTATGCCGTTGATGTGTTTGTTAAAATTCCTCAATGGGGTTGGTTTATGTCAGGTGCAAGCATTACAGAAGGAGGTGCAAGATCAGAGCACCCTGCTGCGACGAGGTCTTTGATTGCAGGCACTGCCACAATGAAGCTAAGGTGAGGTGTTTGATATATCTTCTTTTTGGGTTCTTGTGGTGATATGCTTCAGATGTGGAATACTTGAATTGAGTATATTTGCCTTTGCACAGAACGCTTTGGAAATTGATCCCCTCTATCGACATAATGTTCCTCGCCATGAAGTTGAAAAGGTACGCTTTGGTGTGCCCGGCTAAATTACGTTTGGTGTTCCTAGCAGGGCCTATGTGCCCATAGTGATCCAATAAAATCAAGACGGTAAATAGGCCGTCCTGTTGGGAATCGAACTTGTGATTATCAAGCCAATAGCTTGACCAATTAGGTCAGGGATGTCCCCAATTTTGAAGTTCTTGAAATGTAATGATTCTGCCATTCTGGTGATAAATAGAACCTGAAATGCAAAGTTAAGACACAATTTGTAATAGTGAATAACTGATGTGGAAAGAAAGTGAAAAAGTTCAGTTGAGTTTAATATCCAATTGACAAATTCTTAAATGACAGAACTTCCTTCTCTATCTTCTTTATTTCCATAAAATCCTTCTCTGATTTTTTTCTCTTTGATATGTTTTCAGGTCATATGCTCCCTCTGCAGAACAGAACAAGATGTGAGTCCCTAAACATTTTTCTGTTACAGGATTGATCGAAACCGGGGAAAGTTTTTTAAGGATTTTGCTTTACTTGTGTTGTCTACTTGACAGGTTCAACAAAATTGTATACAATGTGGAGCATGCATGGGGAAATACTTCTGCCAGAAATGCAAATTTTTTGATGATGATGTAAGCTTTGATTTTCTCAAAAAGCCATATTTTCTGTTTCAATGTGTCCATGATTCCTAACATGATCATGCCTCCATGCATTCAGATCTCAAAGAAACAGTACCACTGTGATGAATGTGGAATATGTAGGTGAGATTCTCAACTCTCTATATCAGTTGCTGTTCATGCCCTTATTTTGTTTATTCTTGCCCTTCAAAACTTTTTGATGTATGATCTGCTTTTCCAGAACTGGTGGCAAGGAGAACTTTTTCCACTGCAACAAGTGTGGTGAGTTTACCCAATTCCATAGTAAATTTAAGCTTTGGCTATGCAAATTTTGTGTTTTTTTTTGAGTGAGTGTCTGTTGGTTTTCACGTTTTCGGTCCTACATGGTGTAGGATGTTGTTATTCTAATATGATTAAGGATGCACATCACTGCATTGAAAGAGCTATGCATCACAATTGCCCGGTTTGCTTTGAGGTAAATTGAAAGCATCAAAAGACAATGGAGAACAACAAAAAGAATAGCCAGTTTCTTACATTGGTTTGAAATTGCATTTGCAGTTTTTGTTTGAATCAATAAATGATATCACTGTTCTACAATGCGGACATACAATACATTTGGAATGCCTCAAAGAGATGCAGTCTCACTACCAGTATTCATGCCCTATTTGCTCAAAATCCATCTGTGATATGTCAGAGTGTTGGGAAAAACTTGATGAAGAGGTATGAACTGTCATAGTAAAGGAAATATAGTACAAATATGGTGGCATGTGGGGGTAACAGATTGTTGACTTGGTAATCACAAGGTTACAAGTTCGACTTCCAAAGGGAGCACCCTATTGGCCTTGGTTTGAGCCGGTCAGCTATGGGCAATCTAGGCTGATTTACCTCCTTGTGGTCCTTTTCTAGTTAGGGTCACTAGGCGAGGTTTACCCAGTTCACACCATTGGGTAGTGACTGCGGGTTTCCCTCCTCACTCAAAAAGAAAATGTTGCATGTTCAAGAATTGATGTTTGTCATGATATGCTTTACACAGGTTGCTTCAACTCCAATGCCGGAAATGTACAATGACAGGATGGTAAGTGGAGAGAATTGATACTTGATAACTAAGATTAGGTTGCCATAACATTAATTTGATGGTATTCACAATATGGTTAGGTGTGGATACTATGCAATGACTGTGGGGAAGTATCTAAGGTGCAATTCCACATCTTGGGTCACAAATGCTTGAGGTGCAAATCTTATAATACAAGACAGATACAAGGAGCACCTGCTTCTTCTGCATGCCCTTCTGGAGTTGCAGAGATGGTGAGATGAATTTCTATTAGTGAATTTTGAAGAAGAAGCTGCAAGCAGAGAAATATGAACAAAGTGGTATAAAATTGTAAAGATTAGAGCTTGATTACATTTCAACCTATGCCACTACCTATAGATTCAAATGTGCTGTAATATTGGTTTGCTGGTTTACCTCCTTCTAGTCATTTACCAACTAGGGTCGCAAGGCAGGGTTTACTCAGTGCGCACCTTCGAGTAGTGGCTATGGGTTTCCCTCGTCACTCAAAAAAATTGTGTTGTAATACTATAGGAATGAAAAGAAAAGCCAACTTGCATTTTACAGATGATTTACCAGGTCATTTACTGAGTACAACAGCAATACATGTGCTAACTGCTACTTAAACATGTCCAGAGAGGATGACAAGTGGAGGGCTCAATCTGATCTTCTCATCTTGATATTAAGAGGGACTTGTTTGTAGGACTGCACCCTCCCGGCTGCTCTGCGCAACGGTCTTCCAAGAGCAGTTCTCTTTGAGCAGCAAGATTTGTGTTCCAAGGGAGGAGCAAGATCTTCTTCCTGAGCACGAGCTAGACTGTCATATTGCCTCGCAATATCTTCAAATTCAGACACCCTCTTGGCTGGCTCTTGCTGCTGCATTCTGGGGCAAGCAGATTGCCTCCTCAAACAATGCCTATACATATTAGGATTCAAGATAATCAATATAGGGAAAATTATCACCAGAAAGCTGGTTTTTGCTGTTGCATTACTGTATGTTATCAAGAAAGCTGACCTTTTATTTTCTGTGGATCCCTTTTCTGCAGCTTGCTGGGAGGTAGCTGAACTTCCCATTGCTGAAAAGAGTCTGGAAGTTAGTGACCAAAGTTCAAATAGTTGAAAGTAAGCATATGAATATTGTCTGCATGAAATCTAGCCATTTACATCTACTCCTTGAGGCAGGAAGCTTCCTGTTGATTTTACTAGGATTCATATCTGCATTTGGTACAGAATCCCCAACTCCTGTCTCCTTATTCTACATAAAAGAGCACAGAAATAACAATTACAAGAAAATTTGTTGACTGTCTAGTTCGTTTACTAATGGGAGAAATTCTTCATTTCTTTAGAAAAATGAAAATAGAATATAGAAAACAGAAGGTGGAGAATTGAAGTAAACGCAGTCTGTACCTTTACATCCCGTTTCTTCCCCGCTTTGAGTACTGCTTCCTTTAGATCCAGACTCTTTGCTTTTAGTACTGCATCCTTGCATACAAGTTCATGTTGAAGTGCCTTTACCTGCATTGAGCAACCATAAATTACAAAAGAATATGGAGTGCACATACAAAAGCAGCCTGTCTCAATGTTCAAAATTCAAAATGACAACTTTACCTTTTCTTTATTCAAGTGAAGTTCCTGCAAGAATAACAACAGATTACACCCAACATCATTCAACTATATGATTAAGGTTTGACATTACTGATGAACAGACACTACTTACAGCCAACATGTGACTGTTGGATTGAGCAAGGTTCCAGTTCTGCAGCTGCACTCTCTCAACTCCAACTCTCAGTTTCTTAAGCTCCATTCCAGTCATTTCTATTATTTTGCTGTATATATATATATATATCAATTTTGAATGAAGAAAAGTTGAATGGAAACTGATAAACCAAACACTGTAAGAGAAAAAAACAGAAAAACATTGAAAACCATACTTCCTGTCTTGAATGAGTTTCACCAATGCAATGTTTTCCTGTTTCAAGCATCGATGAAAAAGGATCAGAGCTCCATAATTGCCAAACTTTTGTCCCCCTCGCCGTTGAGCATATAATAATATATAAAGTATAAATATATAGTCTCACTATCAGTTTAGTTGAAACATAACATATCGTTCAATTCTTTCACCGAAGAAAAGAGTTTACCTTGATAAGATCATCAACGTAGTCCTTTGTCGAACGGTTACCCATTTCGACATCGATTGAGGGTTTGAGCTGTGGCAGAGAGGTTCTAATGTCTGACAGCCTCTTCCTCACAATGCTTCCAATGGATGACCTTTTCACCATTTTCTGCACCCACCTTAAAACCTCACTCCAAGGTTCCAAGAAAACTCAATCGGATTAACAAAGAAAGAATTATATTATTGGGCACTTTCTTCTAGACAAAAACAGAGGGATGTATTATATGTATATACACACACATATATATAAAGCACAAAAGAGTGGCGCCAAAACTGGTTTTGAATTGCAGAAGCGTAAAGGGAGGGACGTGTGTGCTATGTAAATTAAAGAGAAGATGGAAGAAAGCCTAAGGTGGTGGGGTTCCAGAATTTGAGCGAAAGGGATACAAAGTAGAAAGAAAATAAAAGGGAAGATTGTCAGTGCCACACATTAGAATGCAAAAGCGACGTTCCTCAGATTCGAGTGTACACAAAAGGAATCATCCGACCTGCCGGATTCGAACCAGCGACCTAAGGATTTCAGCTTTCAAACTACAGTCCTCCGCTCTACCAACTGAGCTAAGGTCGGATTTGTTGATTTGTGATATAAGATATCTTACTCATAATAAATTTATGAGTGACTTCCGTATGATTAAGATGAAAATATAAAAATATTGCATTTTTCTTCAAAAAGATTACATTTTTATATTTGACCTGCCTTACAGATAAGGAAGTATACATAAGTTTTTACCTAAATTTATAGCTTGCCAAGTGGACCATTCAGATGTAGTCATGTAGAAAATATTTGATGCTTTAATTAAGTTTCACTTAACGTGGGATGTGTTATGATTAGTTAATTTTACTTGGGACGATTGCCCCATCAAGTAGCTCAACTATTTAGGTATGTTAGTTAACTCTGGGTTTAATTTGTATGCAAATGTATCACCTAATTCATTGGAGGAAAGACTGATATATAAGAGAATTGGAAATAATGGATGTCAATAATATAATGCCCATTTTACAATGTGGATACTAGGTAAAGAGAAAGAATTGTAATGATAGAATGATAAAACATAACAAATCCATTCCGACCTGTTCAATCCAACGTATCAACGAGATTGCATAATGAATTGAAGATACCCTTGTGCAAATTAAACACAAGAAATTGAGACACCTCAATAAAAGTGTTCTCTAAATTTGAAACCTAAATGGCTTGAATAATATAATAAATTGCACAATTGTAAACTGAAATCCTCATTCTAGATCACAGTAAGACTACTAGAATAGTTGTACAACTATAGAAGACAGTAAACATGGTCAATTATCAACCATTAATTATCAAGAATGAACCTTTATTAAGGTTAAAGAGAAACAAGCTAAGACAGCCAAATACCAGTTCAAGCATAAACTCTACTACTCAACTTCAACCAAGTTGGTTAGATACTTAGTTTGGTAACCACAATGTTGGAAAACCATTCATAAAGAAGGCTATTTTTAGGGACGTGTCTAGATCATGCTTTCTCCTTGTCCGCAAATTAAGAGACGCAGGATCGTGGGATCATTCAACATAATTTTCCTATTATAGCACATGCTTGTGTGGTGGATATGGAAGAAGAATCAATTGAGTTTTCTCAATATAAATTCCCTTTCTCCTGTACGAATAGGAGAGGACACAGAAGACCAGAGAGCTTCCTTCTTCTTCATTCTCTCTTCCGTGTCTGAGCAAGCATAATATACATATTATAATCTGTGTTTGCCAGTCGGAAGCGTCACCGGCAAATTTACGCTTTTAGGGTAGTGTTTTAATAAACACGGCACAGAATTCTGTTTCGAATCCCTCTTCGTATTCTGTCATCCATCACTGCCTAGCTTCCTGTTCAGAGTTCACGTTGGCATTGTTACACCACAAAATCTCCAACAGTTAAAAGCGTAAATTTTTGTGCTTTGACCCAATGTCGACAACAGCTATTAAATCCATCGTCGATTTATTAGCTTTAACAGTTAAAAGTTGACTGGTCATGAACTGGTGTTGATCTCGATCTCTGAATTAGAAGCCTTTGAGAATTTGTTCTGCACGTCAGGGTCAGAGATGCTCGCGGCCGTAAACGGTGGCGTAAAGTCCATGTCAACGTCGAACCCTCATTGGGCGATGAGTTTGCGCTCCTTGTTCTTGCCAAAGATCATAAGTTTGTGAAAATGAGCCAGCGTTTAGTCGGAGTTTTTGTCTTTGGCGGTTGTTTTTTTCTCATCGACCATTGGAGCTTCGTGCTGTTCAATCAAAGGATTACTGCTATTTAGGAATATAATGTCAGTGAGCTTTCACAAGATAACTATGGAAGGACGGTTTATTCACGCTTGTAGGTTTAGATACTCATGAATGGCGTGAAAGAGGTAGAGATATGGAACAGAAAGATTGAACACAAGTGATGAAAGTGTTCACTTTTACACGGGTGAATGAGGATTTACAAAGTCTTGGTTATTATATATATCTTGCCCTCCAGTGAAAGTGTTCATAAATGACAATTGGCTCACGCCACACAAGCTAAGGCTGCTAGACTGAACTACCCTTATTATTGGGATGGGGAGTGCTATCAGACTACAGAAAAAGATTTAACTTCTTCAACTACAGATGCTGCCAGAAAGAAGCCAATAAAACAAGTATGGTAGTAGGAGTGAAGAATGGGTCTAATGCTTCATCCTTAATTAAGCTAAGTATTATAATGATTTAATATTAATGTGTGATTATTATTTTATGAGCATTAGCAGTGCATGCATCTTTAAATTTTGTTATTATATTGCATTGCAATAATATATTACTGCAGGCATGCATTAATTATTGTGTTATAAATAGATGCTCAGCTCACTGCATATACATATGGAGTATTACTTGATTGGAACTCACCTGACTAGCTCTCTTGATTTTTAGTAAATATTGGGATTTGGATCTCTAGATCTATTGTTCAAAGCCAGATTCTTTAATTTGCTGAAAAGTCAAGAAACTGTGGTTGTAAATTATTCATGTGTTAGATAATTGAGGAACATAAATTTGTTATACACATGAATTAATTTATTAGTGGGTGCTATTTGTTCCTTCAAAATTAAATATGATATACATCCTTTATATAATAAAGCTATATGGTTTGGGAAATAATTAATGTTACAATTAATGCCACAACATCCTTTATTATAAAAAAAAAAAAAAAAACACAACATTTAAAAAATAAAATAGCTATATATTATATAATCATATAAAAATATACTTTTGAAAAATAAAATAGCTATATATTATATAATCATATAAAAAATGTGTTCAATTAGAGTTTAAATTTACACATACAAAATTTAAAATTTACTTTTCAAATGTAATTATCTTAGTTATTATTTGTATTGTGAAAATTATAATATAGATGAAATACAATTAAGAATAAATCAATGTAATTATGTAAATTATCTCTATAAGTTTATTTGAATATGCACATAATTAGAGATTATATTAACCATACAAAATTTTAATTTTAATTTTGTATTCTATAAAAATAATAAATACTTGACCAATGGAAACTCAAAAATATTATTATATTAAATAATTTAAAATATTTTAGTTTTTATATTTTTATTTATATTTATAATAACATAATTTTTTTCCGTGCATCACGCGGGTGAATTACTAGTATAATTTGTAGTCACATGATTTTAAATATTTGATTCATGTGTTAAAATTATTTGTATATAAAAGGATAATAAGTATATGTCAAAGGCTTTAAATGCAATTTGTGATAGCATGAAAGAGCCTTACAATAAATATTATATTGCTTAAGTAGTTCAATAATAGTGTTGAAAATTATCCTTTTATATAAGTGGGACTATGTATTCTTTTGAGAATAAATTTGGATTTTTGTACTGACTTGCATTATACAAATGCTTTATATGAGTTTTGAATTTCCTCAAGTGAAGGAAAAATTGTGAAGATGGAATAACTTTGAATGTTAAAGTTATACATGTCGAGTTCACCTTGTTGCAATTTATTATTCTATAATAAATGCAGTTTGAATATATATTTTTAGAATGATCTAAGATCCCTGTATAAAAGGAAATGTTTGTGGTTTGAAGTAATCAATTTGGTTGAGATATATTTCACTATTGAGTGTGTATAACCAAGTGCAGAGTTGATATAAAGTTTGCATATCAGTCTACTAAGGAGCCACTGTTGGGCACCAAAGACTAATCTGGGTAAGATATCAAGTACATTTGAGAAAAAGTATTTGTAAGTGTTGCATTGTGGGGTTAATAACTCTTCATACTTCTTTCCTATAAGTCTCTATGTGGTACCAAGAATAATCGAAAAAAAAATTATAGTGTCTACAATGAAAGAGAAGACACATAAGAGTCAGACAAGAGTCTGTACGACAACTAATTGCCAACGGAGGTAATGAAATATGTGAAGTGTGAGAGAAATATTGCAGATGCTCTCACGAAAGGTTTAAACCGGAAGGCTATCCTTGATGAAACATCAAGGGAGATGGATTTAAAACCTGTGAGGTAAGGAATTCATGATGGATACCACTAAAGTGGTCAAACGAAATCATGGAAAAACTTACACCTAACTTGTGTAATATATGGTCTTAGTTCACTCTGTAGCCTGTAAGAGGTGGTCTATGTTGAGATAGACTTGACAGAGTTAAAGTTTAGATTGAGCTAGACTTGACAAACAGAAAAGTTTATATATATTGAGGTAAACTTGACAGATAATAAAGTCTATATTGAGATCGATAAACTTGACGAATAATATATAAAGTCTATATTGAGATCGATAAACTTGACGGATAATATATAAAGTCTATATTGAGATAGACTTGACGGATAATAAAGTCTATATTGATAGATATGACGGGAAGTTGTAAAAGGTTGATGTGAGCATTAGAGTTCAAAATTTCTCTGACCAATGAGTTCAAGATTCATATCACTCTTGGAAAGAAAATTACTCGATGCCACTATGTTTTAGTTCAAGAGCTAATTCACTAACATTAAAGTCAACTTGGTGTATTGCTCAGACAAAGTTTTATTTCAGCCTTCTTTTGAATGGGTGGGGGATTGTTGGAAAACCATTCATAAAGAAGGCTATTTTTACGGACGTGTCTAGATCATGCTTTCTCCTTGTCCGCAAATTAAGAGACGCAGGATCGCGGGATCATTCAACATAATTTTCCTATTATAGCACATGCTTGTGTAGTGGATATGGAAGAATCAATTGAGTTTTCTCACTATAAATTCCCTTTCTCCTGTACGAATAGGAGAGGACACCGAAGACCAGAGAGCTTCCTTCTTCTTCATTCTCTCTTCTGTGTCTGAGCATAATATACATATTATAATCTGTGTTTGCCAGTCGGCAAATGTACGCTTTTAGGGTAGTGTTTTAATAAACACGGC